TAGATTTTGGATAAAGCGTACAGTCACAAAGCTGTCAAACATGGCATTTGGGTCTTCTAAACAAACAAACATGGCATTTGGGTCTTCTAACTAAAATAGGAAAATAGGAACATAAATAGTGCATCATTGCTAGACATGGCCCACATTTGGTTGACATACACCCTGCCATAACACCAGTCAGTCAGAAATGCCGGCTTGATGCCGGATCCCGGCCAGAGCTGTTTTCTATGGGCCTGGGCCAAATTAACCAAACCAAAATCGGGCCAGATATGGCATGCCATCGCATAGACAGGAGCGTCATTGCCAGACCTGGCCCACATCTGGTTGACATACACCCTGCCATAACAACCGTCAGCCAGAAGTGCCAGCTTGATGCCGGATCCTGGCCAGAGCTGTTTTCTATGGGCCTGGGCCACATAAACCAAACCATAATCGGGCCAGATATGGCATGCCATCGCATAGACAGTGCCATCTATGCCAGGCCTGGCCCATATCTGGATGACATACGTCTTATCATACCAGAAGTCAGCCAGCAGTGCTGGCTTAATACCAGATCCGGGCCAGACCTGCTTGCTGTGGGTAAGTTTTTTTTCGTGTGGGGAAATACACAGATTTTCAACATCCTCACAGAAGATTTGCATTGTTAGAGTTGAGTGAAGGTGGTCTAAGAGTTACTGTAAAACAACAGTGGTTCTCTTATCATGAATTGTCTTCAGCTTCATTTACAGAATAAACACTGCCTTACTTTGTGTTTGAGAGTCCAGATTCTTTACTGAAGATTGGGTTTTCATCTTTGGACTGGTTAGTCTTCAAAGACACACAGCTGGATCTTGAAAGCTCTGCACTGTGTCTGCGTTGCTGACTGCTGGAAACACAAACAGAAAAAATCATACATTTGTCTTGTGCAGGTTCCTGTTGTTTGGTACTGAGCTTCTTCTCCCTCAGGGTTGGGTTTATGAGGCTAAAACATGTGATGTCTTCAGTAAATGTTTAATCTTTTCCTCTTCAATCCTAATCCTAAACTCTGATCATGACTGTGTAAGGACTGAGAAACAGTGAGAGTGTAGTGCTGAGAGAATAGTATTACACTCTGATTATTACCGTCCCCTGTGTAGTCTTTCTGATCAGACCCAAATCTTTGAAGCAGCAGCAGAAAGAATTTCCACTGAGCAGCCTTTATATCATATAAAATCTGACGTTAATGCATGTTTTTATGTTATCCTGCTCACTTCTCCCACCGTACTTATGTGCTTGCTTGTGTATAGTTACAATGAAACAGAAGCACTCCTTCACTCCTTTGTCAGTAAGTTTATGTTGTGCTTTTTAATCCAAATAATAGTATCTCCTGCCAAATGATTCATCTTCCCCTTAGTTTACAGAAGAATCAGTGTCCTACTTTATGTCTGAGGGTCCAGGTTCCTTCAGTTCACTCATCGTTAGTCTGAGAAAGAAAGCAGCGAAACAAAGAATGAGCACAGAACAATTATCATAATAAACATGTTTGTCACACCCAATACTGGTAGCACAAGAATTACACACGCACGCACACACAGTAAGTCAATATTTTCCTTTGGGCAGACAATCAAACAAACATTTTTGCTGACTTTCTTAAGTTTTATTCCAACTTGAGAACAGTCAGAAACTCAAAAAAACGTTTTTGATTATTCTGACAGAACATGCATTCGCAGTTACACTCACCTTGCTTTATTTCTCCTGCTCTGTCAACTGATCTCACTTTTAGTTTCGTTCTCGGCTGAACGGAGCAGCCACTCCCCTCTACATTTAATCACCTGACTACATAACAGGTGTGCGATGCAAAGATTAGCTTCTGTTCTTGCACTTTGGCATGAGGCCTTGGTTTGCATTACTGTGGCTTCTTACCCTCTTCATCAAGTATGTAAACAAAGGCACAGACACAGGCCCTTACCTCATTTGTGCAGTTCTAAAATTGTGATTGAACCATTTTGCTTTTCTACTTGTGCTGTGTCTTTGTCTTCTTTCTTATTGTTATTTATTTCTTCTATTTTCTCCCATTTTCTTTTTCATTTGTGTCTTTTCTTCTGCCTGGCATCACTGACATTGCTATATTCCACATGTACTGTGAATAATAGTAAAATAATAAAAATAGAAATCAATAAATTGGTAAAAACAAAACAACAAAACAAGACAAGCAAAAGGAGCCTATAAAGAGTTTCTATAGCGTTTGATGGAAAAGCAAATGTTTGAGACAACATTACAGTGAGATCATAATTTTGATTGCAAAGGCTGGCGGGCAAGATAAAAAAAAATGAACATCTACACACTGCCAGCCATCAGACACCCTGCTGGGATAATAAGCTGGCCAAAGGAGGCGATAGAAGCCACATTAAGACAAGGGAGCTCCTGACCATATGTGATGAGACAAGTCCAGCACCTAGAGACTGTACACTTAGCGGGAGGAAGGAAGCTGAGAACTTGTGAGTACACAGAACCACTATCCAGGATGAAACAACAAAGATCCATGAGTACATCAGGAGGATTGCCACAACTGATCATGTGCTTAGTAAATTAATGAGAAATCAGAGAAAGAAGAGGAGAAAGGAGAAGAACCACCATGGAAGGACAGGACCCAGCACGCATGCACCCCTGTTAGATAAAGAAAGTGGCAGATATCAGAAAAATCCTAGTTGTTGGACAAAGCTGGATGGAAAGACAGCAAAAAAGGCATTAATCATAGCAGCAGAGGAACAAGCTCCATAAAGGCTGGGGTCTACCAAACCAGCCAAGACCCCAGGTGCAGGCTGTGTAAAGTAGTGATGTATCTTTGAAGTGAACGACACAAGCCGGCTCCATGGGTTGTTTTTTTTTTTTCCTTTCTCTCACCCTCTCTCTCTCACACTTTTTTCCGCTTCACTCCGCACGCGAGCCTTGTGGTTTTCGCTGGGCAGAGGGGGGAGGGGCGGTAGTTACACTCCAGGAACAGAGTGGGAGGGAAAGAGAGAGAAAGAGAGAGAGGGACAACAACTTCACATTAGAAAGGTGTAGTAATCATCCACAACTATTTTCGGTTGTGCAAGATGCCAGCAGACAGGGCATACATGGAACGCCATAACCAAAGTCCCAAGGTCAAAATTGGAGATGCCCCCTACAGTGGTTGAGAATGACCGACCTAAGATCCTGTGGGGCTTCCAGATACAGACAGACAAATCAATCGGACATAGCACTGGTGGACAAGCGGAGGAAGATAGCCGTATTGACAGACGTAGCTATACCGACTGACAGCAACATCAGGAAGAAGGAAGATAAGAAGCTTGATAAGTACAGAGGGATCAAGGAGATGTGTAGGGTAAAGGCAACAGTGGTCCCCATGATATTCAGAGCACTCAAACCCTTAAGCTCCTATGATCAGGGCCACTTTCCTCTCCTTGTGGGCTCCATAATCTCTCACTATGGTGATCATCATAGTGACGGCGTAGAAGATGAAGAGTTTGATGGTGCAGCCCTCCAGCAGCAGACTGATGAAGGAAGTGTCATGAAGAGTTTACTTGGCTTTGTCAAAGAGCATGTTTGTCTTTTAGATACATCACTTTGGGATTTTTTATATTTATTTACACTAAGCAATACCTGCAGCTCTAAAGAACCGACTCCAAAGCTTAATACTGAGCTCAAGTATGAGAGATCATGATTGTTATTGGCCTTATAAAAGTTTCTTGATTATGGTGGAAATGAGTTTGAGGCAGCTGTTGATGTGAGCCATGTTTGCAGCTGGAAAATATAGTAAAAATAACAGCACTGCTCCCAGAGTGCAGAGGAGTTTTATTTCTCTGGGGAGAAGGATTTCCAGTAAACCAAAGAGAGGGGCACGTGTTGGTTGGATTTGAAAACTTCTGTGAATGTAGGGCCAGTCTGAACATGACCTCCTACGATCAAATCCAGATGTGGAAGGAGAGTGAATTTACTGGAACACTGTAAGCACATTTTATTTTTTAAAATAACACATTTACACATATAATTAAGTACAGTGATGTAGGTTATGTCATTTTTATGCTACTTATTTTCATGGAAAATGTCTGGTGTTCACATTAATTACATCTTCCATATCAATAGTACTGGTAATGGGTTTTGACTGTCTGTACAATTATGCATACAACCTGCTGCAGTTGTTTTTTGTTTGATTTGTGTTGGAAAAAGTTCCTTTACAGCAGTGAAACAGAAAAAAATTTCAGACCGACACGGTTTCTTTTTCCCCCTTTTAATCCTGTAACATGGTTAGATTTACAGTTTTAATCAGAAGAAAACACGACACATAGAGACGTCAAAAATGCAAAGATATGCAAAAATATTTCCCTTATAAACATTTTTACAAGCAGCTGCATCATCACAGCACTCAGGTTTCAAACTGCAAGCTTGGAAGATTCTGTCCTACTAACAAACTTCACATGAGGTCGCAAAAGAATGTGGCTTTTCTTTTAAATACATTTAATTTTACCATGACAAATCGAATCAGTAACATTAACACTGCCTTCCACAAACACAGCAGGTTACACGAGTCCAGCTGTGAGTGGTCTCAGGGATCTCATGATGGCTGACAGCTGGTGGAAGCTGCCAGCTCTGTTCAGAGATGGAATGCAGGAAATTCTGTGAAAGAGATTTTAATTTAGAGATTAAAGACTGTTTTTACAGTAATGGTAGTTAAGGTGAAGACTTTAGAGCCAAAAGTAGGTGAATTTTCTTCAGCAAAGAGTGAAGAAGCTGGAAACTAAAAGGGTGAAATTGTACAAATTTCATTTTGAATTTAAAAACTTTTTTTTAACACAAACACAGAAAAGTCCACGTGAAAAGAATTATTTCTATGCATCAAAGCAATTTTGGCAGATAAGAAATTAAGAAATAAAACTGCCATTTTGGGTGATATTATGCTCGATTCCCTCCTGAAATGTTGGGATGGTGTTATTCAGACTAGTGGGCTGGAGAAAGCAGTTAAGCTATTGAGATGGATTTCTTATGACTGACTTTTTGGCCCAATATTTACGATAATAAGTTTAGTATATGGGTCTCAAAAGGTTTAACTACTTATTATTCTCTTACCCATGAGGGGGCATTCTTGAGCTTTGAGACATTAAGACAAAAATATGGACTAGGTCAAGACCATTTTTACAGGTATTTACAAGTCAGGCATTACTTTGATGAAAACATTAAAATTATAATAGAAAACAGTGAATTGGGCTTTGTGGGCTTTGTGGGCTTTGTGGAGCACTGTTGTTATCAAAAAATTAAAAATTAAAAACAAAACAAAACACAAAAGCAGTGAAATTTTTCATGCTGCTTGAAAAATATTTCACTTTGAAATTCAAGAAGAAAAAAAACAGGACTGTATGAAAGAAAAAAAACAATGCATCGTACTTTGGCTAGTATGCCGGGGTGTTGTGCAGCTCCTTGTATTTTGGTGGCATCATGGAGACCACGATGGTGTGTCTGTTTGGGTAATACAGCTGGTGAATCATGATGGAGGACAGAATCATGCCAAGCAGCTGTCGGGGAACACAGGAAGCTGAGTTAAACATCTGCAGGTTGTGAAATGTTAATTCTGATTCTGTATTCATAATGAACTAATATTATAATGAACTTAGACTCAAACTGCTATGTATTTACGTACAAGATGATTTTTCACAAATTTAGATTTTAGTACTAGTTTACTTTTTGTTCCACTACAGATGCTGTAATTCTTCAACATTTGATGGAGAAGATGGAGAATTCAAACTTTGTAGAAAAAATATATTACATGTATACTATGACTTTCTCATTGTCACATAAATAATAGCAGGGACTAAATGCAGAGAATGCAGATGTGACATTTATGCTACCGAATCCTTGAATAATTGATAATACTCACAGCTAGAACAGCCAGAGTGAAGCTGACCACAAGCATGATGTTGTAATGAAACTGAATGTGGTCCATGATGGTGGGAAAGCAGGTCTGAAAATAGAAGGAAAAATAAAAACTGTCAAGTTCTGATATAAACCGAGGAATGATTTAAGCTTTTCAAAAGGGTGCTGGGTCGCTCACCTTAGTGTAGACGGACATTCTCTGCAGCATGAAAGTCTGGAAAATTTACAGAAATAAAGACGTTACAAACTGTGACACACCGTGACCAGTGAAGCAAGTGGGTGCATCAATACTCACGTTGTTTTCGACAGTCTGACACTTGCCCTCCTTCTCCTCCTCCTGGCTGCATACACAAGAGTCGGGGATGTTCTTCCAGTCTTTGTAGCTGAACAGACCACAGCAGTGATACTACAAACACCAGCAGGAGAAGAAAGAAAGAGGAGAGTTACTCATCTTCAGGAGGATCATCAGCTGGAAATAAACGTTAAAAAGTGTGTGAATTTTTTTTTTAGAAAAAAGTGATCAAATTACTTGTGGACAGTTTGCCTGCTCTTATTCTGAAAGCTCACTTGCTGCCAACTATCAACTGTATATAAATAATGGCACAGTGTATTATGTCATGTTTCAAAGGTCATCTGATGTTATTTACATCATCACCAGTTTGCAAGTGCTAAATCTTTTATGCCCTGATTTAGTGCATCTTTTTTCCATGAATGTAACTTGTATTTAGCAACAACAAAAGAAAAACTCATTTTAAAAAGATTAAGAGATTACAGCGAGCGAGTTAGAATAGCTCACCTTCTCCTGAATGACCTCAGCCATGTTCCTCACATCCTCTGAAGATTTGTCCAGAGGCACAAACCTCCTGAAAGTCTGCTCCACGATGCCTTTGAGCTGCAAAAATCAAATATTTTTATA